AACCCTAAACCCGAAACCGAAAACCCTAAACCGAAAACCCTAAACCGAAAACCCTAAACCCTAAACCCTAAACCGAAAACACTAAGCCCTCAACGGAAAACCCTAAACCCTAAACCCTAAACCCCCTTGAGGCTTGGCAATTCCTCATCCCAGGGCTTTCTCGGATGGTCTCTTCGGCGAGAGGGCGGACCTAGATCAGCAGGCGGATCTCAGAGCGTTTAGGGTTTAGGGGTTTAGGGGTTTGGGGTCTAGGGTTTAGGGGTTTCAGGTTAAGGGTTTGGGGGTTTAGGGGTTTAGGAATTAGGGTTTTGGGGTTTAGGGTTTAGGGTCGTCTAAAAGTCCCATTCAAGAGAGACAGGGTTTATCGTTTGCCCCTACATCTCCAAAGCTCACCGGAAAGTTAATATGCATTTGGAGGCAAATGGGCCGGAGATGCACACAAGCAATTCTATGTTTACTTTTGCAAGACGACTGTGCATTTGCTGCCTATTCGCCCATGCGGGGCCATTTACAGACCTAACACTGAATACTTCTGCATCGAAGCAAGCTCCCTCTCTCTCTCTCTCCGCTCGCTGTCTCTTGGAGGGTTTAGAAAGAAACATGGGGGAATGGGAAGATTGTAACCCCAAAATATTTAGTTGACCCAATGATTACTGGCGGGGTTGAGGGGGTGTAGCTTTAAGAGCAAATATTGCAGGACAGAAGGCCTTGAATCATCAAAGGGTACCGTCGTATGATGAATGTTGAGTGTAGCATTACTGTATAGTAAATTAATGTTACAATGCAATCTTAAATAAATAATAGCACAAAATATGGACAAACCCTAAACCCTAAACTCTACTAAGGCGGCATCGACCTACTTCAATATTTTCACGCGCCCGAACTCGGCTTCTCTCGGCAACAACACACTGCAGAACGGCCGTAGCATCGGAAATGCTCTTTTGTTTCGGGATGTAGGTTTAGTAAGGGTTGAGGGTTCAAGGGTTTAGGGTTTAGGAATTTAGGGGATGTAGGTTTAGCAAGGGTTCAGGGTTCAAGGGTTTAGGTTAGGGTTTAGGGTGTTCTGTTGGTTTGGGATGTGTAAGGTGTCAGGAAGGATTGTTGGGATATTTCAGTCTACCAGTTTCTGCAATGATGTTCGGCACCCTAAACCCCAAACCCTAAACCCTAAACCCTAAACCCTCAGCCACAAGGTACGAATTCTTGGGTGCTTCTTTTTCGCCGTCCCAGACCTCGATGACCCCACCAGGTCCCGGGTGGGCGTCACCGGAAGCGTTTCAGAAGCCTTTGTGGTGGTACAATGCTATCATCCCTCAGTGGATGGCTCAAGGTCCATTACGCTCTGTGCCGGAGATAGCTCAACTGGGCTTTCAGCAGGTGGCTGCTTTGCTTCAACTTCTGGGTGGTAGCCCAACCCCAGGCGAGGCTGCGCAGAATCGTGCCGCAAGTATTTCCGCGCCCACCCTCTTCATTTGCGGGAACGAAGATCGGCAAATCCTTTGTGCGAAACCCTTCTCAAGGGCGACGCAGCAGTATTGCAAAGGCAGCTATCAGTTTTTGGAGGTAACGTGTGGGCATGATCCCCAGAATTGCCATGACCCGGACCAGACTGGAATTGTGTATGATGCTATTCTCGACCATATCAAGAAGCATTCGCATTGGTGGTATGCCAGGTATGCTTATCGCAAATGAAAGCACGTTGTAAAGCAATATCTTCAGCTGGGCCCTAGTTGCCTGAAAAGTACTCAAGTCCATACCCTAAATGCTAAAGCCAATCTACCAAGCCCTAGCCGCCCCCAAACCAAACGGAAGATATGTCCCCTGGCACTCGGGCCTACTGGATCACGCGGTCCAACACCGGCAGACGTTTCAGTTTTGAACTCTATGGCTCAGCAGACTCACAGTTGCAGGCTTTCGAGCCCAAAGATCATGAGCTGCGTTCAGCCTAAGGGAAGAAGTCGAAATTCCAGTGCGAAGCCACTTCAAAACGTTTCAAAAAGCTTGCCCTCGAGAGCTAACATGCATTTCATATTCAGCATCCATGAGCCCATTTGGATTGAAAGTCTATGTGACTAAAAAACAATAGATTCTAGAGTACGACCTGTACCCTAAACCCTAAACTCAAACAACCTAGGCGCCAGGATCCTAAACCCCAAAGCCCTATGACCTTCAACCCTAAACCCCAATACCCTCTTACCCTAAACCCTAAACCCCTACACCCCACAACCCTCTCACCCTAAACCTTAAACCCCAAAACCCTGTGACTTTCAACCCAAAACCCTAAAGCCCTAAAGCCCTCTTGCCTTCAACCCTAAACCCAAAACCCCAAAACCCTCTTACCCTAAACCCTAAACTCCAAGCCCCCAAACCCTTCTTGCCCTAAACCCTAAACCCCCAAACCCTAGTACCTTAGTACCTTCTTACTTTCAGCCCTTCCTCAAACCGCCG